CCTCCCTCCCTCCCTCCCTCCCTCCCTTCCTCCCTCTCCCTCTTTCCCTTCTCTCCCTTCCTCCCTCCCTCTCTCCCTTCCCTCCCTTCCCTTATCTCTCTTTCTGTTGTTCTTCCTGTATGTATGCGTGTGTTCATATGAGTTGGTTGATGTGATTTTAAAAAAGTGGCTTGAGAGAGAAAGACACCAGGTGACAGAGTTCAAGTGGAGGGGTTTTTATTAGGGGAAAAGGATAGTAAAAAGGGGAGTGGGGGAGACCTGCCTCCAGGGACAGGAGCAGCAGGGGAGAGGAAAGAGGCAGAAAGAGAGAAAGAGAAAGGAACAGAGAAAGGGAGAGAAAGAAAGAGAGGAGGCCGGGAGGTGGGCACGGCCCTTTTAAAAGGGAACATAGTGAATGTGCACAGGTGGTGCTCTTAGTGGCAGCAGCTGAGGCTGTATCCTGTCAGAACTCCAAAGGCAGACTAATACAAATGCCGAAATACTAACATTGGTACCCTGCATATAGAAGCCAGCATCTTCTTTAATTGCTCCCCACAATCCCACCCCTCTTTTTGAGACAGGATCTCACAGAGATCCACCTGTCTCTGCCTCCTGAGTGCTGGAATTAACATGTGTGGCGCCACACCTGGGAAAATATTTTAGTTTTCATTCTATGTGTTTGTGTGCATATGGCAGAGAGAGTATGTTCATTTAAGTGCAGGTGCCCACAGAGGCCAGAGGCATGGCGTCTCCTGGAGCTGGAGTTACAGGTGGTTATGAGACACCAAAGCAGGTACTGGGAACTGAACTCAGGTTCTCTGGAAGAGTGGTACACATTCTTAACTGCTGCCATACTTACAGCCCCTTTCTACCTGAGTTTGTGAGACCGGGTGGGTCCCTGACTGAGCCCAAAGCTCACTGCTTCTGCTAGCTGCTGGCCAGTGAGCCTCAGGGGTCCTCTTGTCTCCAGCTCTCCAGTGCTGGGGTCACAAGCGTGCCGCTGTGCCCGGTGTTTATTTATTTATTGTGGGTTCTGGGGATCTGAACTTAGATCCTTGTGTTATACAGCAGTTACTTACTGGACTGTCTCCCCAGCCCTCTAACCCCATGAGTTTTTGTTCATCATGCAGATGGCTGCTAGTAAACAGCTGTCCTGCAGAGTGGGAGCAGTTGCCTGTGTGTGGTGGCTTTGAGGTAACTCAGACAAATGTTGCTTCTGGGAAAGGAGGGTTTGCAGCTGAAGGACCACCAAGACCTCCACTAAGTGGTTGCTGTAAGGTTGTGAAGCTCTAGCTCAGCGGTTGTCAACCTGTGGGTTGCAACCCCTTTGGGGTGTTGAACAACTCTTTCACAGGGGTGACCTAAGACCGTCAGAAAACACAGATATTTACATTATGCTTCACAGTAGTAGCAACATTACAGTTATGAAGTAGCAAGGAAAATAATTTTATGGTTGGGGTTACCACAGCACGAAGAACTGTATTAAAGGGTCTCAGCGCTAGGGAGGTTGAGAACCACTGCTCTAGAGGCTGAGGTTGGAAGCTTTATCTGGCAAGTGCAGTTTCCAGTGTCATTGCCATAGAAACACTGTTCATTTTTTCACCCAAGGAAAATGGC